AAGGGAATCGGACACAACCATTATGTAAAAGAGAACTCCTCTCCAAATCCCCTTGTCTGTTTTATCCCTGAATCCCCCTTCCCTCCAGACGCCCAGTACTCTCACTGTTTGGGTCCTGTCAGCTCCAGGGTGTCCTCTGACACACAAAGGACCTCATCTCACCTGCACTCACCTCCACAGAGCTTTGTTCACTGTGTAGATGGAGCACGACACCTCTGCCTGACAGCTGCCCTACGCTCTTGGCTATGGGGCTGGTGCTGGGCGGCGAAGGGGAAAGAATATGAGATCTGGAGTTGGAGTCCCAGCTGGACGGACTTGGACAAATTATAATCCTTAACCTCTTTGCATCCCAGCGTGCTCGTCAATGAACTGGTGTCAGCAAAACTCACTTTGTAAGGGCGTCCTGGGGATTAAATGAAACAGCCTGACCTACACTAGGTGCTCAGAACAGGCACCTTTTTTACAGGGAATTCACCAGCTTACTGAATAACGTAGCTCCAGGCACGAAGCAAGCACAGTTTGAGAAAGAAGTGATTCGAAGCCGGAAGTTCCCTTGGCACTTTCCTTGAAGTGAATCGGATTCTCTTTGGATTAAGGAAGAGTTGGCTTGCTCTTCTCTAAGAATTCTGCATTTGACCGGATTCTCTTTGGATTAAGGAAGAGTTGGCTTGCTCTTCTCTAAGAATTCTGCAATTGACCGCATAGCTGCATAGCCGCCTGGTCCATGGAGAGCTCCGCTGTTGTCATGCGAACCCTGAGGTCAGACACATGCAGATTCAGGTTTTCGCCTGAGGCAATCGCTTCTCTAGCCCAACCAGACTGTGGTGGTTTGCAGCTCCAGCTACACCTGAGAATCACCTGGGAAGCATTTCCAGTGCCTTCCCAGACCCCTTTCAGCAGAGTCTCTGCTGGGTGAAGCCTGGATATCAGTGCTTCTAAGAGCTCTCCGGATGATTCCAATGAGACAACTGGACCAGAAGATCTCCAAGGTCCTTCTCTGACATCCTGGTGCCAACGACAATGTATGATTTGGAGTAGACGCTTAGTACACGGTTGATTAGTAAGTTAGTAAAGATTCGGACTCACCTCCTTTTTTTTGCTATGTCCCTGTTCCCAATGTATGAGGTGAAAGAAAAAGAGAAACAGTTGAACTGCAAATAAGAATTCTGGAACAGTGCTATCCAATAGAAATGTCTGCAATGCTGGAGACGATCTATAATCTGTGCCATTCGGCACAGTAGCCACAAGCCACATAGGGCTACTGAGCATTTGAAATGTGGCTGGTGTGATGGAGAAACTGAATTTTTTATTTTATGTAATATTAATTAAATAGCCCTATGTGACTTCTGGCCACCATATTGGATGGTGCAGACATAGAGTGTCTGCCTTTCATAAACACACCTATAGTGCGCCCCTCTATGCTCCTCTTTTACTAACAGTGCCCTATTTTCATTTAGGACAGTCCTCTGCACCCACTGCCTAAGGTCTTTGGGGGACAGCTAACGAAGTTGCTCTGCCCTTTTCCAGCCAGCGGCTGGGCCTGGAACCCAAGCTCAGTCTACCAGACTCTCCAGGAATTTGACTCTAGCTTCAGTGTCACAAGAAAAGGAGTTGGAGCAGATTAATACCAACATTGATTCCCCAAGACACCGCATATTAGTTTCCAGAACATTAATCCTGAGTGTGACAATAACAAGTGAGATATGGTGTGACCTAGGCGTCATTATCATCATCATCCCTGTCATCATCCAAGTACATCACCAGTAGCTAGCAGCCCTGACATGCCAGCCCCTAAACTAGGCACGTAAGCTGCCTGGCCTCTTTGTGCATCATTTCTTCTGTAAAATGGAAATTAACTCATTCCTAATTTCTTCCAGAAATTGTCTTTGTGAAGACAGCAAAAGAGATATTAGTCAGAAGAGCTTTGAGCCAAGCATCATTAGAGATGTCGTTCCCTGAGTATAAGTATTGGGGATCGTGGGAGGGCTTGACGCAGGACCCAAGAGCTATACCTCAGTTCCAAGCTGTGTGACCCTAGTGCTTTCTGCTAAAAAGAGATTAAGACACATCTTTTGCTGGTTTCACCATTTTCTAATCTATGTGCACGCCCCTCCCACCCTGCCTCCCACCTATCCCCTCCCCTTTCTACAAATATATCCCAGAAGCCTTTCTAGGCTAGACCATGCTAGAATGTGCTCAACTCATTCTTCCTTCCCCAGCAATCCACTTAACTGGCCAAGTTGCCCTGCATATGCACTCCCATAGCTTCCTGAACTAAGTCTCTGGCCAAGCACTTTATTAGAATCATGTTTAACCATCTCCTCTAGCAATAGACCATAAGCCGTACCAGGGCAAAGACCACATTCCTCTTGTTCACCACTGTGTCCCCAGTGCCCAGTACAGAGCCAGGCTCAGAGAAGGTGCTCAATAACCACTTACTGTTGGAATGTCTGAATAAATACCCCAAATCCATTTTATTATTTGTCACTGCAGGAGATGTCATTTCACAGAAGTAATTATCTAATGCTGCATAACAAGAACCCCAAAACTTACTGGCTTAAAACAAGAATGATTACTCCTTATCTCTCAGTGTCTGCAGGAAAGAAATTCAGACAGGGCACCTCAAGGTTGGCTTGTCTCTGCTCCATGTCTGGGACTTTGGCTAGAAGTGTCAGAGGCTGGGAGATGGGATGATGCCACTTCACCACCTATCTGAGTGATGCTGCTTGTGAGCTGCGAGCCCTGCTGGAGATGTCAGCCAGAATGCGCCGTTTCGTCCTTCCACAGGGCTTGGGCTTCCTCACAGCATGGTGGCTGGTTCCGAGGGTGTCCTGAGAAAGTAAGAGAGAAGACAGGAGAAATGTCTCCTTTTTATGACTGAGGCTTAAGAGCTATATAGCACCCCCCCTCCCCCACACCATGTTCTATTCATTAGAAGCCAGTCCGAAATCCAGCCAGCAGTCAAGGGGAGAGGAATTAAGACAACATCTTTTGGTTGTTGTTTTTTTAATTTTTTTTTTTACATTTATTTATTTTTGAGAGACAGAGAGAGAGCATCAGTGGGAGAGGGCCAGAGAGAGAAGGAGACAACAAATCCGAGCAGGCTCCAGGCTCCAAGCTTTCAGCACAGAACCTGATGCGGGGCTCGAACTCACAAATTGTGAGATCAGGACCTGAGCCAAAGTCGGACACTCAACCAACTGAGCCACCCAGGTGCCCCTGTCTTTTTTTTTTTTTTATGTTTATTCATTTTTGAGAGAGAGAGAGAGAGCATGGGTGGGGATGGTGCAGAGAGGGAGGGGGCCAGAAGATCCCAAGTGGTCTCCTTGCTGACAGCAGTGAGCCTGATGCAGGGCTTGAACCCAGGAATCCAGAGATCATGACCTAAGCCGAAGTAGGATGCTCAACTGACTGAGCCACCCAGGCGCCCTGGACAACCTCTTTTGAAAGAAGAAGTGGTAAAGGACTTGCAAACATTTTTAAACTACCACAACTTAGCTAGCACAAGAGGCAAAGGGCAGGGTGAACCATAAGTGTCTGAAGAAGTAAAGCTTCAGTTCAAATTATTAGCTGTGTAAGTTTGAGGAAGTTACTGAGACTCAATTTCCCCATCTATAAGATGAGTAGGTTGTGCTTGGTTTTTACAAGCTTGGAGTCTTCAGCCTCTGTAAGCTTAAGAGAATCTCCTGTTTACTGGCTTTCCTGAAGTCCTGTGACCCTTCCCATCACTCATCACCCTTGGTTTCCGACCCCGGAGACAGCGAGAGGTAGCTACTGGAGCTCAGGGGACCTAGGAAAATCAGACACCAGGGACTTTAGGGAACACGGGGAACCGCTGACCACCTCCGCATTCTCTAAGGCCTTCTGTGTCCCAGCCCAGGTGTGGAAACTTCAGCTTGTCCTAAAGGGGCAGATGAGAACTGCAGCAGACCTGGATCTAAACAATCTGAATCCGCGGGTAGTTAGGCCAGAGCCCAGGAATCTGCTTTACCCCCCAAGACGAGGCTGTCATTCATACTAACTCCTGGTGGGAGAGAGGAGAGAGTTTGTGGCTGTTTCCTTTCAGTGAGTTCTTTTCTTCTGCTCCCCCTTCTTGCCTTTTCCAAGCCTCTGCTCTGTGGGGGGTAAGGGAGGTGTGCCTTGGGTCTCCGAAGTCCTGGGCCGACACACACCAATGGGCTGCGGTTTCACCGTCTTCTGGGCCGTCTGGACCCTACGCAACCGGCACCTAGCTCCATGCATGGATGTCGATCCCAAGACCCAGGACGAGGCAACACCCCTGCAGGGTGGCGCATGGGGGCCCATCGCCAGAACTAGGGACGTAGACTAGAGGCGAACCCTGCGCACCCCACTCCCACTGATGCAGGTCGTGGGGTCGAACAGGGTGGCTTTTAACCCTTTCGCTTCCAGAAGTCGCGACACTAACCCCCAGACGGCCTCCGTTAAGGAACCGGCACTCCAGGAGGGCTCTGCGCTCACCCGTGTGACGAGCTCGGCTGACAGGAAGGGAAAACTAAGTCCCACGGAGGGAAGCGGTGTGTAGGACGTCCCGCAGGAAATGAAACTGATTCCTGTCTAGAACCGGGTCCTCCAGGCCAGCGCCCTCGCTTCTACCCGCTGAGGGCCTCTGCGAGGTGCTTCCTTTCGGAAATTCCCGACCGCGGGCCTCCCGAGCCCGGAATCTCCATGCAGTTTGCGCTCCGTGTGGCACGTTGTGAACTTCCTCGCAGCTCGTCGCCGGCTTCGCCGCGCCCTGAGAGAGAGGTGAGAACGGAGCGGACAACACCTTGCAACCTGGAGATAACTTGGGGCGCAAGGCGGGCGGCCGAAGGCGGAGGGCCCCCTGGGAACGCGCTGGCCCTTTAAGGGGGGGACGGAGCGCATGCGCGGCGCGGGCCAGAGTGGAGCCGGGTGGGCGGCGGGCGGGCAGGGGACGCGCGCGGCCGGCGGCAGCTGGGCCCTGGGGCGGCGGGGGCGGCGGCGGCCTGAGCCTCCCCGAGCAGCCTAGCGTGGACCTCGCGCTCGCCGGGCCTCTCTCCCGGGACTAGCGCAGCCCGCGCTTGCCGAGGCTTTGTCAGTCGCCTCCAGCTCCATCTGCGGGCTGTGGCCGCGCGAGCCTCCGAGCTCGCCCTCCCTGTCCGGCGGTCCTTCCTCCCCCCGACTTGTCCGGGGCAGCGGGAGCGCGAGCGGACCGCCGCGGAGCATCCTTCGCCCGGCCCCGCCGCGCCACCGCCCATGCCGCAGCCACTCGGAGGCTGCTACCGCGCGGCCGGAGCCCGCCGCTCGGTAACCTCAGCCTGGCCCCTGCGCGCCGCCCGAGGTGGCCCCGCTGAGCCCCCGGCCCCGGAGCGGGACCCGCGCCCCGCGATGGCTCGGCTGGCGCCGCGCGGTGCCGGGTGCCCGCTGTCCGCCCGCTGAGACGCGCCCGGCTGGGAACCGGCGGGGCCTTGGCGCTCCCCGGCCGCGCCCTTCCCCCTTCTGAGAGCCGCGCTGCTGCTTCCCGGGGGCGAAGGGACGGGGGACCGAGACAAAGCCCACTTTGTGCGGGGAGTTGGCCGCGGGCGTGGAATGAGCGCGTCGGCGTGCGCCCCCTCCCCGCGCCCAGCCAGCTGTGAGTCCTGGCTCCCCGGCTCGTCGCGTCAGAGAAATCGCGCCCCTTCGTCACCCTCCTGTCCGGGGGTCCCAGCTCCGAGCTGATGCTGCCCGGAGTCGTCCCGGTACCCCCCCGGAGCGCGCGCTGGTGTGAGCGTGCGAGATTTTGGAGAGGAATTTGTTCTCCAAGACTCCGACTTGGGGCGCCCGGGTGGTCTGGACACCGGTGCCTTGACCCTCTGTGGCCGCAGGTGTGAGCTGTCTGGCCTCAGTTTCCCTCCGACTTTTCTTGCAAGCCAGACTGCTGCCCGTCATTGTTCTCGCTGTCAAATGGGGGAGCTTTGTGATGGCTGCCAAGTTGAGGTGTGTTCTCTTTATCCCGTTTTACAAAAAGAACAAAGCCTCTAAGGCTGACCCCGGACAACCACCTCTCTACGCCCTACTTCACGTTGAGGCACTGATTTTTTTTTTTTTATTGAGTAGTATTTTATTGTACAGGAGCCACGCCCTGGTTTCTTAAAGGCGCCTTGCACTCTGTTTGGCCATGTGTTATCTCTGCAGCTGGTGTGTGGGAGGCCTTCTGTGAGCCACCTATTTTTTCCTGCCTCTTGATACATACTCCTACCCTCATCAAGGATTCAGGGATGCCAGGGGGGAAGAAGGTGGTCGGGGGTGGCAGCAGCGGTGCACCCCCCACTGCCGCTGCGGCCCCCTCTGGGGTCAGACGCCTGGAGACCAGCGAAGGGGCCTCAGCCCAGAGAGATGATGAGCCAGAGGAGGAAGGGGAAGAGGACCTGCGAGATGGAGGCGTCCCCTTCTTTGTCAACCGGGGTGGGCTGCCTGTGGACGAGGCCACCTGGGAAAGGATGTGGAAGCACGTGGCCAAGATCCACCCCGATGGAGAGAAGGTGGCCCAGCGGATCCGGGGGGCCACAGACCTGCCCAAGGTAAGGATTGTGTATGTGTGTGTGTTGGGGGAAGTGGTATCTCAAGTTTTGGCAGTCTTGGGGCTGGGAGGGCAAAATCGTATTTTTCCTTGGTGGGGTAGGGGACCACTGGCATGGTAACACTTTAAAAATACAGACAGATTGTGCCTCTCCAGAAGAACTTTCTCTCATCTGCACTTGAGGTTCTGTGAGGTCCACATGCCCTGTTTCCAGGAGGCTCACTTTCATCACTTTTTATTTATTTTTATGTTTTTAAAAATCCTTATTTATTGATTTTGAGAGAGAGAGAAAGAGCATGAGCGGTGTGGGGGTAGGGGTGGGGAGGAGTGCGCATAGAGAGAGGGAGAGAGAGAATCCCAAGTAGGCTTCTAGCTGTCAGCATCGAGTCCAACATAGGTCTCGATCTCACCAACTCAGGTCAGATTATGACCTGAGCCAAAATCCAGAGTCAGACACTTAACCGACTGAGCCACCCAGGCACCACTTCCATCCCCTTTCAAATACTCGTGTTTTGTGGGCAGGGCAGCAGATTAACAAGTACACTAATGTGGCTTTACCTCTTATTTGCTAAGCCGGTGAACTGTGGGCAGAGACATAATAAATGACTAAAGTGGATACAGGGCTTCCGATATTGAGAAAATATTTTCATGCCTTATCCCACTGAGTTCTCCAGCAGCCTTGTGAAACAAGGGTGGCTTGGGGCCCCATTTTACAGGTGGAAAAGCTGAAAACTCAGGATCCCACAGCTAGTAAGTGGCAGAGTCAGGACTCAACGTCAGGTCTTAGAGCTCCATGTCCTCTGCTCTGCTGGACTCTCGATTCAGGGCAGTTAGAAAAAGGTCTGTGGAAAGGAGTAAAGTGAAATAATCTTTCGGTGGAGGGCTGGCTCCATGATGGCTGTCCTTGAGTCGCGTCACCCATGAAGGCTGAGGCTGTGTCTCCTTCATCTTTGTCTTTCCTGGGCCTTCTGTGCACCTGGCACAGAACAGGCACTTGTGTGTGTCTGCTGAATGAAAGAGTGCTTGAGACTTCCACGCACATGATCTTTGGTTTTTTTGTTTGTTTGTTTGTTTGTTTTACATTTTTTATTTATTTTTGAGAGACAGAATGAGACAAAGCATGAACCGGGGAGGGGCAGAGAGAGAGAAGGAGACACAGAATCCAAAACAGGCTCCAGGCTCTGAGCAAGCATTCAGCACAGAGACTGCCACAGGACTCAAACCCATGAACCGTGAGATCATAACCTGAGCCAAAGTCCGACGCTCAACCGACTGAGCCACTCAGGCGCCCTGATCTTTGGTTTTGTAATGTTATGGTTAAGATTGAAGAACCACTTTCCCAGATGCGGAGGCCTGAAATGTCCAGAGAAGAGCCCTTCGGGCAAAGGTCAGAGTCCAGGGTTTGGTTGTGCATGCTCAGTTGGAAAGTAAGGGGGGCAGGGAGAGTGGCTGTTACTGTGGAGGAGACGTGGAGATGGCCTGTTTCATTTCATTTCTACCAAGCTATTGGAAGAGCCATCAGAAACTGTCTTCTTGGAAAAGAGAATTCAGAGGTTGAAGGTTGAGCAACAGCTTAATATTTCCAGGGGAAATAAAACCGCTGCGTAATTGTCCTGTGTATGAACTTGGAATTTATTCAGCTAATCCCCTATGATTGGACATGGTTTCTAATATTTTATTCTTTTTTTTTTTTCATTTGTTTTTTTAATGTACATCCAAGTTAGCACATAGTGCAACAATAATTTCAGGAGTAGATTCCTTAATCCCCCTTCCCCGTTTAGCCTATCCCCCTCCCACAAGCCCTCCAGCAACCCTCTGTCTGTTCTCCATATTTAAGAGTCTCTTATGTTTTGTCCCCCTCCCTGTTTTTATATTACTTTTGCTTCCCTTCCCTTATGTTCATCTGTTTTGTATCTTAAAGTTCTCATATGAGTGAAGTCATATGATATTTGTCTTTCTCTAGCTTCACTTAGCATAATACCCCCCCAGTTCCATCCACGTAATTGCAAATGGCAAGATTTCATTTCTTTTTGATTGTCGAGTAATACTCCACTGTATTTAATGTTTTATTCTTAAGATGAGCGCTGTGGCGAACATTCTAAAACATAAATTTGAGGGTCCATCCCTGGTTCTTTCCTTGGGATAAATTCCCGGAAAGGAAGCACGGCACCAAAGAATATGGATATTGGTTTCGATCACCCACCTATCTGTGTGAACTCAAGCAGGCCCTCAACCTGTCTGAGCCACAGTTTTCTCATCTGTACAATGGAGTGGATTGTGGTCAGAGTTAAATGAGAGACTGTGTGTTAAAGCATTTCACCAGCAGTCAAGTCTCAAGCCAGGAGTTGTTATCAGATGTCCATTCGCTCTTTTTTCACGTCTTTCCTCAGGAAGCAGGGGGCGGCTAGACCTCACTCAGCATCCGCAGCACTAGGGCCAGGGCCACACGTCTCTCCCACAGCAGCAAGCTGGTGACTGGCACACAGCTCTCCTGCTACCTTGCTTGTATTTAAATCAGGCTGTGTGAGAGGGTGAATAGTTCCCTGTAAAACGGATACCACTCCTGGAGACTGAAATAAGTCAACAGATTCATTAGTGACTGGTCTGTCATGTTGTCTTGCCATCTTCAGCCTTCACATATAGGAAAGACACCCATGCAGAAGTGAAGCCAGTGTCTGGGCGGTGGGGGGTGGGCATGTCAAGACTGAGGAATGTGGTGGAGTGGAAGGGGTGTTGTGAGCAGACTGGGAAAATTCTACACTTGCCCTTAAGCCATGGGACAAATGGTACAGAGAGAGGACCTTACATGTCTGTACGAGGTTCCTTTGAGACCTTAGGTCCGAGTAGAAAAGTGGAGTCTGGGAACCACCGGTGGTTGGATACCAGAGTGGCGGCAGCAGAGAGGACTGTGCACCGGGCCGGCCCCTCCCTGATGGCCGTGCCCTCGGCATTCTCTTCAGAGGTCACATCATGGTGGGCCCGAGAGCTGTTTCGTTGGGATGATGTGATGTTTTAAAAGGTTGCTGGAGCCAGAATGTATAATTGGGAGATTTCACACAAAGATCCAGATTTGGGGTGTCTTTTCAGAAAATGAGAGGATGCGGGAACAGAGAATCTGTGATCCCACATAGCAGCTCGCAGCTGGAGCTGAGGAGTGGTCCCCCCTCCTCCGGTTGGCCCCAGTCCCCACCACCACGCCCCTCCCCCCTCCCCCCCCCCCCCCCCCCCCCCCCCCCCCCCCCCCCGGCTGCCTTCCCCATGTATTTCAGTCTGGGAGCCCTGCAGTGTCGTGTGACAAAAAGAGCTTGGCAGAAAAATCCAGCACATTCAAACCCTAGTTCTCTCAGAGCCTTTTTGTGAGGAAGGCATGTGACCTCCTTGTGCCTCAGTTTCCTCAGCTGTAAAATGGGGATAATAGCCTTACTAGTGTCCAAGGGACTTGGGGAGGAATTAATGAAGTCAGGCACCTGAAACAGGTGAGCATGTCATGTGTACCCAGCAGGTGGAGCAAGGACTGAGGGTGTAGCAGCCACCCCACAGATGCTCTGGGGGAACATCCTTCAAGATGATGATATAGTTTGTTGAAGGGCAGCCATTGCTTTTTCTTTTTTTAATTTTTTTAAAGTTTATTTATCTTTGAGAGAGAGAGAGAGCATGAGCAAGGGAGGGACAGAGAGAGGGAGATACAATCTGAAACAGGCTCCAGGCTCTGAGCTGTCAGCACAGAGCCCGACACGGGGCTCAAACTCACAAGCCGTGAAATCAAGAGCTGAGCCTAAGTCAGAAGCCCAACCTACTGAGCCTCCCAGGCGCCCCTGAAGGGCAGCCATTTCTAAAAGGATCTCAAGTCCGAGAATAGTTTGTGTTCTTTCATAAGAATTGCTCCTTGATGTTCCAAGCTGTCACCGCTTTTAAAAGCCCGGTGGCCACTCCTCCCAGACCCAGCCGCTGAAGGTCTTCTGACTGTGGCTCTGACCATGGAGCTTCTCCAGAGTGGGAGTGTGGACACCTCTTCCAAAAACGCTGGCGGCGGCATCAGCCTGTGCTGACCAGTCGCTTTGGCACACACTGCAATGACACTGAGCAGGACTCGAGCCTCTGCTGCAGGCCAGCCCCTGTTCTAAGGCCTCAGCATGTAGCATCTCACTGATGCTCTGAGATTGTCGCTCTTCTGCGGCCCATTTCACCAACGAGGCGTCTGAGGCACAGAAAGACGTGAGGGAACTTGATGTCAGACAGCGGATGGCAGAGCTGGGATTTGGGCAGTGGTGGTCTGGTTCTGAAGCCAGCTCTATGACCTCCAGGCTGTCCCCCAGGCTCTCCTGCCTCTTGCCCCCACATTTCACGTGCTGTGACGTACTGCACTTAACCCCACCCCTTGACACCTCCTGGATCCTGGTTTGGAGGGAGGGGGGCAAATCCAGGCCACCAGTCCTAACGTGGACCTGGTCATTTGGATACACAGAATCCTGCTTACTTGTTCTTCAGTGAATGAGTGTGTATGTGAACATTCAGAACAGCGTCTGCACTGATGAGCACAGGTTACCGTGAGTCATACGGCTGGCCGGGTAGCTCCTTCCAGCTAAGCCCCTGTGCTGGCGGCCCTGGAGGGCCTGCCTGTGAATCCCACATCTTCGTTTTTTGTGTGTCTCTTGGAATCATTTCCTTGCCCCAGAGTGACCAGTTCCTAGGTTCCCTTCAGGATGGCAGGTGAGGCCCTGATACTGGGCCGGCTCTGGTAAGTGCAGGTGGAGGGCCCTCTGTCTGGAGCTCCCTCCTTGTTTGGAGTGTCTCAAGGGAGGGCATATTTTCCGTCTCTCTCCAGAGCTCCTGGAAGTCCCTGAATGGCCTCACTTGAGACAATGGCGACCCATTTGCCTCTCAGGGACCTTCCACCTGAGGACGTCAGGCACCATGCTGTTCTCAGTACAGCGTGAAAGAATTTGTCCAATTCCTCTCCCACCTCCCCACTAACCCATATTCTGACACGGGGGGAGGCTAGGATAGGCCCTCAGAGAGTTCTGGAACTCATCTGGCACAGAGTGGTCAGGAAGAGGGAGAGCCCCTCCCACCCCCTACCCCATCTTGGGGCTTTTATCTCGCTGGTGACTGTAAGTGGTGGCGTCAGTTTGGGCAGCAGTATAATGTGAAAAGGGGAAATAGCTTTCTCCAGAGAGGTGTCAGCTGCTCGGGACTGCCCAGACAGGAAGAAGGGGACCAGCAAGGAAGGGACAGGAAGTTCATGCAGAACTGTGTTCTGGACTCTCCCAACCAGACCTTCCCTCCTGCATTTTCACCCTCAAATGCGAGTAGGTGTCTGTCATAGCCTGTCCTTTGTCTCCATCATCAGTGGCACCCCAGACATGAGTGTGCAGTTATCACTGGTGTGTCCCCTCCCTCCACATTAGGGCCCCCCCGTCGTTTCAAAGGCTGTGCCCTGTGGGCTCGGCTTCTCACCACAGAGAGACCCTCCCCCACCCCAGCCCTGCCCCAAGTTCACACAGGGCACCTGCTTTACCCTTTCCCTCACACATACCCCTATCCATGCAGACTGACACCCTCAGCAGCCCCTGCCCGCTGCTGTGTGAACTTGGGGGGGGGGGGGTGCTGGGTGGAGCCTCGGAATGGGGGAGACCTCTCTGTGAGGAGCCTGAGGCCGCCTCCCAGCAGCATATCCTGGTGGCCAAGGGGGAGCCCAGGCAGGTGGGCCTTGTGTCCTGGAAGTCTAGTTCTACCTAAAGAAGTTCTGCAGCCCCAGAGGGCCCCAGCTGGTGCTTCTCTCGGCCACCTCAGCCTCACTGAATCGACACAGCCGAACGGCGAGGACGCAGGCTCCCCAGGCCCGAGAAGGGGGCCTGCGGCCTGGGGCACACACAGTGTAGTGGCCACTCTCCTGAAGGCTGCCTGTTGCTCATCTGTGGCTCCTGACTTGAGCCCTGGCAGCTGGGCAGCCCACTGGTTCCAGCCATCAGGAAGCGCCTGCCTGGCACCCCCAACTCTCCCCATCCTGGGCCCGGGGCTGGAAAGTCTCTTCCAGTGAGGAGGGAAGCCTGGTTACCTGGGGGCTCATATTGCCCGCAGAGGTTGAGCTGGCAGGAAACGGAGGGTGTAGATGGGGGCACTGGGGCTTTCGTGCCCCCCGAAGCCATGAGGCCATGGCAGACAGACCCACAGCAAGACCTGCCCCGAGTCAAGCCCCTCCAGCCAGCTAGCGCTGCCCCACTCAGCTTGCCACTGGAGGGCCTGTGCCTTCCCATTGCCATGATCCTGGGGTGTGCTCACCCTCATGGGAGGGGTCCTCCCAGCCCAGGCAAGGCAGGGAGGGAAGGGGACACCAGGCAAATTAGTTTTGATCAAGCACTTGAACCAGAGCAAACCCCAAATGCAAATGAACTTCACCCCAATATGGACATTCTTGTGAAGCCGTGAAATTGGTGAATTCAAATTGTTAACGTGAAGTTTTTAAAATTCAGAACCAATGGTGAGGCAGCCTGTGTTTTTCTACAATTATTCATGAGGCATAAAATTCAAACCTCACCCTAAGCTCCATGTTGGGAATGCCATCAAGTGCCAGGAAGGAGAGGAATGGCCATGGTGGGGGACCTGACCGGAGTCTCTGGAAGGAGTTGCCAAGGACAGAGGCTCAGGATAGGAGGGAAGGGGGAGGCCGTCTCTGGGTGGCAGCTTCTCTGGGGGCTAATCCCGGGTGTCGGGTGGGCTGGAAGGTCCAGGGTGAGCCTCCCTGTAATGACCAGAGCTCTTTCTTGTCCCTAGATCCCCATACCGAGTGTGCCTACGTTCCAGCCCTCCACGCCCGTCCCTGAGCGCCTGGAAGCCGTGCAGCGCTACATCAGGGAGCTGCAGTATCCTCCCTGGTTCAGGGTCATGGCCACTGTCCGGCTGGCATGCTGCTCCAGGGCCCACGTGGGGCTTATGTTCAGACAGGGCTGCATTGGCAAATGCAGCCTGAGCCCACAGCCATGCACAGGTGACCTCTGTGTCCATCTCGTGGTGCCAGCACAGCCTGGCTGCCGGAGGGTTTTATCCACGTGGTCCTCTCCGCCCCCTCTCCTCCTCCTCTGCGTGACCGGGCCAGTGCCTCCTGAGCGACCGGCTGGTGGGGCGGCCATGTCCCGGCCCACCAGCACAGACCTCCTCTTCTGCGGTCCCTCCAGACCCAGTAGGAGAACAGAGAAGCCCCCTCGGGGCTGTTTAAAGGCTGGTTTCATGAGGGGAGGCGGATGGAGGAAAACAAGGATTTTACACTCCAGGAGGTAACTTCCACATCTTGGAACATTCTCCTAGTTCTTTGCCCTTCTCTTCCCTGGTAGGAGCCTGGCTGCCTAGCATGGAAACACCTGAGCCCTCTGAGCCTGGTTCCCCAGAGGCCCTGCCTTGGGCCTCTCCGCCCCCTGGGCCTGCCCAGAGCTGTGGGTCCTGAGTCCTCTCCCCAGGCCCTTCTAGGTGCAGATGCGGCAGGTATGGAAGGACCAGGCATGGGTCCTGAGCAGGAGAAAAGAGAAGCTCGTTACTGGAAATTGGGCCCGGTCCTTCCATTTCCCAGTGGGGAAGCTGTGGCCCGAAGAGGGGATGCAGTTGGCTCGGGAGTGCCACCCAGCAGATTAGCTGCATTGGACCCCTGCGCCAGCCTGCTCTCCGTTCACGCTGCTTCTCGGCTGGTTGAGAGAGAAGTGGGAGCGCTGCAGAAGGCTGCTGCTCAGTCTCCCCCCACAGTGCTCTCCTCTGCTCTCAGATGTTCCAGTCTTCGGCATCCTCCAAGCACTTGCTTGTGGAAGCACTTTGTGGGGTTCTTACCCAGCCTGCACTCCAGGAGTGCTGGGCCCTGGGGGCTTGGGGATGGGTGGGGGCAAAAGGACACAGCTCTTCCAGACCAAGCTAGGAAGCCCTTAACTGACACCCGCAGGTACAATCACACAGGGACACAGTTCTTTGAAATTAAGAAGAGCAGACCTCTGACAGGGTAAGTTTGGGGAGCACTCTGTCCCTCGGCACCCAGGTTAACAGTGCCCCCAGCTGGGTTGGAGCACCCGTGGAGAGCCTTTGGGTGGAAGCTTATGAGGCAGGGAGGGACACTTCCAGGGGAGCCAGACAGTAGGGGCATGTACCACTGTGGGGCTCTAGGGTTGTCATACAGGGGGACCTCTGGCCAAGATAAATACCCAGGGCCCCCTTGATGGAGACCCCAACATCTGATTTCGTACAAGGCCTGGCATCTGAGAACCAGGGACCCCATGGGAGAAAACCTCGCATTGCTCTCTTGCCCTTCCCCCACCCTTTGCAGACCTCTAGCTGGTTTCACCCCCAAAGAAGCCCCAAGGGCAAGGGAGAGGGAAGAGTGAACGCCACTGCTGGGTGTGGGGACCCCATCCAAAGCTGCCTGCAGGCTTCAAATCCTGTGTGAACTTTACAGCTTCACATGTAATCTGTCCAGGTTTGCTTTCTTACAAAACTACTTAAAATGGTTTGTTTGCTGCACTGTTTCATTACCCTCCTCTCCAAACCCTCGGGTAGAATCCAGCCTCCCTAACACAGAAGCTTTGCTCTTCTTGTCCCATGGTTGCCATGTGCGGGGGACCCAGCTCCAGCCTCAGTGGGATGGAGGAATCCAACACCCTCCTGAGCAAAGCCCATGGCCGTCCTGCATTCCCAGGCCTGGGAGCAGCATTCAGTGAGGAGGCAGGAAACTTGCCTCAGGGATGGGCTGTCTCCAGGGGGCCTAAATTGCAAGTTCAGTAGCAGACCTGGGAGTCGCTGGGCAGTTAACTGCCTGGGATCCTGTGTCTCTGCCCTGGGCGGCTGGCCAGCTGCGGGGGAGCAGTTGTAATCAATTACAAGCTTGGAGAAGCCGTGGTTGAGTCAGGGGTGTTCACTGTTCTCTGAAAGGGCCAAGAGCAAGGCCAAGGTCCCCAGCATCTTTGGCATGCTTTCCTACCGAGCCCTGCAACACTGTCGTCATAGAAGGCTCCCAGCCTGGTGGGTGGCAACGATCTGCCTACCAGGGTACAGCCCCCATTCATGCTGCCCTCTCCCAGAAATCGTTGGAGCCAGAGTCTGGCGTGGGAGAAGGAAGTGAAAGCAGGGGATGGGTGGGGGAATGGGGTTTCTTCTTTATTTTCAATGGCTGCCTCTCCTCTCCTCCCTTAGGCTCAGGACAGACTTGTGGAGGGGGGGGCAGGTGCTGGGCCTGAGCTGGAAGGGAGGGAGCTCTCTGTCCTGTAGCACTTCTAGACCTGTTCCCTCCTTCCGACCACCCTACCCAGAAGGGACTAGAAAATCTGTCCTCAATGCTCTGCCTCCCTTTCCCCAGGCTGATGGACCTGGCCAAGGAAATGACCAAAGAGGCTCTGCCAATCAAATGCCTGGAAGCCGTGATCCTGGGAATGTATCCTTCCTAGGCCCCTGGAGACTAGGGACAGGTGGGCTCAGCCCTTCTGAGCCTCAGCTTCCTCCTGTGGAAGAGGAGGGCTGAATGAGCTCCAGGGTCCTCCCAAGAGTCACGAACTTGGTCCCAAAATGAAGGAGCTCGAGGGGGAGCTCAGTCCCCAACACGTCAGTTGCTAACTTTCCAGGCTCACTGGGCAGCTCTTTTCTGAGTCCTGTGGATGCCATTACTGTGTTCGCTGAAACCTGAATCAGGGCACGCTGCCTCTCAAAGCTCTTGTGCCATTTCTGAGAACCGGACAGTCTGGGAGAAGTCATTTCAATGCCCAAATGTTGGCATTTCCAGAACACATTGATCTGTGGAGATGATAGATGGGGTCTTTGAAACAGAACTGCCTTTAAAACAAAAGTTTCTTGGTCACCCCCAACCGGAAGGCAGAACTGAGGCCTAGAGCTGAGTCACCAGGTACCTCGGTAGGACAAACAACCTCTGGTCAGAGCAGGAGGGAGACCAGTGTTTATGGCCGGTTCTGTGTTCCAGGATGAATCCCATGTGCCCAATCACTCAGTCTTACCAGTTCAAAGCCAATGGTGATTCACCTCTGCCCACCCCTCCCATCTCGCCCTTTCCATAGTACCTACCAGCTCTTAAATAGTCTGTCTGCCTCCCTGGCCCCCAGTGTAGGTGCCTGGCTTAGTGCCACGGAGAGGGCAGAGGGGGGTGCTGCCTCACAGAACGAGGCGTCCACTCCCCGGGACGGATGGAGGAGGAGAACACGGTGGTCAGGCCAGGAGCACAACTGTCATCCAAGGGGGAACGCTAGCCCTGCCCCTCGTGGACATCCCTACCTTAAGCTGTACAAAGGGGCTACAGGGGCACCTCCGTCCCCTCCCAGGGAGCCCCCAGGAGCTCACTCCGCTGATGTGGTGGTTTGCTGACAGGCCTGCCTCTATGGAGCCCACAAGCTTCACCCTGTCTGAAGGGCTCTTTGTTGGGCTGTACATGCGGCCGGCCTGAGACCTTCAGGCCGCTGCCGGCACCTCTGTCATGCTCCCACTTTCTCTTCCTCAGGGGCACACACACCAAAGCGTAGACCCCCACCCACACCATGGGAGGGAGATGGCTCCCCACCCATGGTGCTCACAGAAAGCTGGGCCAGGCAGATCACAGGGTCCAGGAGGCTAACCAGTGGCTCCTGGCCAGGAGGATGACACGAGCAGCTCCCACCTGGACTGGAGGCCCTCCTCAGTGTCCCCACAGAACTGCCACAACCCCCATTTGCTGTGCACCAGTGGACACTATACTGAATGTGTTGCTGTGTCTCTTCCTTGCTGCACCCGGGGCCTGTGTGCCTTGTTCATCTCTGTGCCCTCAGGCACTTGCAGGGAGTTGGGCTTAGTACATACACACTATAGCACCTTCGAGCACAGACTTCCTGAATCCCTAGCTCTGCAGCTTATCCACCGTGTGACCCCAAGCTAATTCCCTAACGTCTCTGAGCCTTGTGTCCTCTGCAGCAGGGCACAATGGTAGTGCCTGTCTCACAAGGTTGTGAGGACAACCGACCGAGTCCTTGCATATAGGACACTGGGCAGTGTCCGTACCGGGCAACTGCTCCCAGCTTTTACCTGTTCTTCTACTCATGTGTTCAAGAAGAGCTTATTGAGTAACTACTAGGTGCCTGGCTCTGTGCTGGTCCCCAGACACGATCAAGGAACATGGTCAGACAAGGTCTCCATTCTCAGAAGTTTACGTTCTAGGAGGGGGGACACAAATAAGCAAGTAATTACCAAGAAAGAAGTAAAATCATTACAGAGTGGGGGAGGGGTTGCCCTGGAGAAAAGAAACAGGAGAGCTGACGCGTTGGAGGGGAGGGCAGCCGTGACCGTGACCGCTGAGCCCAAGGCCTGGAGCAGGCCAAGGCACACAGGGAACAGCGCTGTGGCAGAAGGGAGGAGCTGCTGTGGAAGGTCCTGGGGTGGGGCGCGGGGAGGGGGGAATCCAGGTGGATGGAGAGACTGAACAGGCAGGGCAGGCGGGGTATGAGGTGGGAGTAGGCAGCCGGTCCAGGCGGTGTTGGCCTCCTAGGCCAGGGGAGCGTGGTGTTTTGTGGGTAAGCGTGCATGTGCTTTGGCAGGGAGTGGGGCCAGTGAGAGAAAGAGTCGTCTGCATCTGGAAGGATGTATATGTGACAGAGAAAACAGGAGGTGGAGTATCTGAGAGCAAAATGTAGGGGCAGGTGAGGAGAAATGAGTGTAACTGGTGGAAGGAGGGAGGGAGGGAGGGAGAGGGGTGTGGGTGGCAGGCTTCTCTCCTTCCTCCTTCAGCAGCGAGGGCCCTGGGGAGCCTTGCAGTTTGGAGTTAGCTCTTAATATTTTGTAACCCTTGCTTGGTATCATAGCAGCAGCCGCTAATCCCTGAGCACCTGGACCAGCCAGTTACTTTATTGAGCACCTACTGCATGCTGTACTAGGGGCCGGGGCAGGCCGTGGAGCTGGGCCAGACACGGGGTCTCCCTCAGCAGCCAGGGTGGAGGGGCCCCGCCGGGTGGACCGCCCTCGCGCCTCTGCCGGCCTTTTCCTTAGCAGGGCTGGCATGCCCAGTTACCTCACCAACAGCATGCCCACCCTGGAGCGCTTCCCCATCAGCTTCAAGACCTATTTCTCAGGGAACTACTTCCGCCACATCGTGCTGGGGGTGAACTTCGGCGGCCGCTACGGGGCACTGGGCATGAGCCGGCGCGAGGACCTGATGTACAAGCCGCCAGCCTTCCGCACGCTCAGCGACCTCGTGCTGGACTACGAGGCCGCCTACGGCCGCTGCTGGCACGTGCTCAAGAAGGTGAAGCTGGGCCAGTGCGTGTCCCACGACCCGCACAGCGTGGAGCAGATCGAGTGGAAGCACTCTGTGCTCGACGTGGACAGGCTGGGCCGCGAGGACTTCCGCAAGGAGCTGGAGCGCCACGCCCGCGACATGCGGCTCAAGGTCAGTGCCGGCGCCCACCCTCCGCCGGGCTGTGGGAATGGAAGGGCCGCTGCTTCTCCAGGGAATGGCCGCCAGTCCCCTCCCCTGGGTTCCCACCCCAGCAGATGTGGTGTGAGGCTCGAGGGAGGTGATGCGGTGAACAGTCTATCGTTGCTCCTTCTTGACAGGGTCCCCGCTGGTGGGCGGGCGGGGGAAGGCCCTGGGAGAAGGCAGCAGGTGAGCAGAGTGTGGGTAGAGGGCAAGTCCGGAACCTGGAGAGAAGGGCGGGGGTAAGCCCCTCCATGGAGCTGTTGGTTGGGAAACCATAGGCTGCCTGGAGGGAAAGTAGGGCCTGGTGCAAGGAGCCTCCATCAGTCTTGTGTATCCTGACTCTTGACCCCTCAACCCCCACATTCAATAAAGGACTGAGGAGGAAGTCAGAAAAAGGAAGGAAGTCATACCATAGGAAGACAAGGAGGATGGTTGTTCCTTCTCCCTCTTTCCCACCCGCCTTGAACAGGAGAGCAGGGGGGCGGAGCTGCTGAGAAGCCTGCCCCCAGCCCAGCCTTACAATGAACAGAATCGTGGCCTCTCTTTGGGTCCCCCTGGACAGGGTGCCTCCCCTAGGGCCTTCCTGGTTTTCCAGGGTGTTCAGCGCCTCCCCATTGCTTGTTCAGGAGGCCAGCTGGTGGCAGGCGGAAGCTCTATTTTCAGGGGAGGAGACTGAGGTCCAGGGAGCCCAGGAGCCTGCTTACAGGCAACGAGGAGATTGGACAGGAGCTGTCTTTAGATGGGGGATGCAGGCATGTCACAGGGGCCCCAGTAGAGCTCTGCTCTACCTCAGCCGTGACCTTGTGCGGTGACCACACCTTTCCCCAGGGTAGCAGCCAGCTGCGGTGACTCTGCTGGGCTCTCAGGGGCTGGCCCTCCCCTGCCTTTCACCAGTTGCCCAGAACCCTGGCTTCTGCTGCTGGAGTAGCACTGGGCTTCGGAGGAACAGGCTGGACCTAGAGTTGGAGCCAAGAGTTACCTATTCTTTCCCAATCTATCTGGCGCTAAGGACTCCCCACGTTATTTGCCCCCATCCAGCACCACCACAGTATACCCTGTTATTCCCGTCTAGCTGACCATGCTGTACAGAAGGTGATTCGGTTGCTTTTCTCATTTTTTTGTTCATCATCTGTAGCCGCCAGTCTGAACTTCTGCTTCTCTTGAGATCACCAGTCCCCCTTGGGGCTGGTGGGATCCCAGCCCAGAGCTCAGACATAGGCTGCTCCCCCTGCTGTCCCGTTTACCTGGCATGGTTAAATGGCCCTTTCTGTGAGGGCTGCTGACAACAGCGCAGAGCTCAGTGACTTCCCACCAAGTGCAGGCCGCCCTGCAGTGACCTCTGCCCTGGCAGCTTTCGTTCCTGGGAAATAGGTTTGGGATGACCGTGGGGATGGGGCAGCCTCAGCCCTTTTGGCTCGGACAAGGCAGGAGGGGTTCTGGGGAAGCCCTCAGTGAGACTTTGTTTCTTCCTCCACCCCAAGATTGGCAAAGGGACTGGCCCGCCCTCCCCCACCAAGGACCGGAAGAAGGACGTTTCGTCCCCACAGAGGGGCCAGTCCAGCCCCCACCGCAGGAACAGCCGCAGCGAAAGGCGGTGAGGGATGGGGTCATGCCTGGGGGGCTGGTGAGGGACTGGGGTCAGGGCTTGGGGAGCCTGAAGAAGGCTTTTCCATCTCATCTTCTAGATCCCCATGTTTCCTCACCCTTTTCCCACCCTTCCTTTTTTTGTCTCCACCAGAGGCAGGTGACGTGGGTTTGGTGGGTTTATGTATTTACGTGTTGACACCTCCTGGTAGCAGTGCTGTCCCATTTCCCCAGGGAAAATGCCACTCCCTGGGCCCCTGGCTCCCCTGCGTTGGGCCCTGGTGCCGGAGCAAGAGGACCCACACAGAGGGTCTGAGACAGCTCATGTGGGGGTGGGGGTAGGGCCCCCGCCAGACTGTGAACTCTCCCAGCAGTTGGGAGAGGTTAACATAAGATGGTGGCTGGCGGGCGGCTTTGAACATTAACTCTTGCTCCTGCGAGAAACATCCCATTAAAATACCAGGCCACCACCTCTGGTTTGTCTCCTAGGAGTCAAGTCGATCTGGCCCTTGCTTTAGTATCCTTGTCATTGAGCAGCCACAGCTCAGGGATGATTAAGGGGCACAAGCAGGCCTCTGATATGCAGTGTCATTCACTTGGAGCCAGGCAGCTTTTGTAGAGAAGAGATTCCTCACGCAGAGAGTTACACAGTTAGACGTTTCATCCGACTGCGGATTAGGGGCCCTCCAGCAAAGAGCGGGAGCCTGTGAGAGCGTGTAGCAACCACACTCAGGACAACACAGGCAGGCCGGGGCTCCAGAAACGCACCTCCACGGGGACTTTACTGCTGCATTTGGGGCACCTTGATGAATGGAGGGGGAGCGACCAGGAGCAGCCACTGTTTGTTCCCTCCTCCCCCACCTCCCTGCCAAGCCACTCACCCTTTCTCCCTTCTCTTGTCCCTGCAGGCCATCGGGTGAGAAGAAACCTTCTGAGCCCAAAGCCATGCCAGACCTCAATGGGTACCAGATTCGAGTGTGAGGCACGTGGCAGAGCCCAGCCTCACCGCTTCCGGGGGCTGGGATCCGTCTCCCAGAACCAGCCGCATTCATGGGGAAGACGGGGCTGGGGAGCGGGCGGGGTGGGAGGCAGCAGGAAGAACCTGTCCCAGCTCAGCCCCGCAAGCCGCTGCCCCTCCTGCTGGGCCAAGCCCCCTAACTCTGGGCCAAGAAGCAGTTAGTGTTTTCTTTGGAGTTTCTAATCCAATAACTAAAGTTTAAGAGATTTAGGGAAAACTTAAAACTAATGGATCTGCCAGTGGCCGGAAGGCCAGTGCTTAGGAGATCTAAGTGCCACAAGGCTGGGCAGGGAGGGGTCTGCTGGCTCTGCTGGTGTCTCTCTGGGACTTGGGTCCATCCTATCTGTGGGGACTGTCCCAGCCCCACTAAGCCTGTGGCAGGATGGGGGTGGGACGCGGGCAGAGGTGGAGGTGTTCCTCCAGTTGTCTGCCCTGGCAGAATCTTCACCCAGGGAACGGGAAGCAGGGTCGAAACCATCCTGGGAAAGGTCTGTGTGGCCGGTGTCAGGAGCTTGGCACTAGGCCACATCTGCCCCAAGAGCAGAGTCCATGGCCCAGGACGGCCCCGGGCCCTGTGGCCCATGGACAGCACAGTGTGGGCTGTGGGAGAGCCCAACAGAGACCACTGGGGGAGGAGCTGCTGGGCCCAGATCCTACCTAGTCTCCTTATTTAGCCCAGCTCTGCTGGCTGCTGAAGCCGGGGGCTCCCTGGAGAGGGGCCAGGCCTTGCCCAAGGCCCAGAGTCATCCTGGGCTCAGCATGACTGTAGGGACTGAACGGCCTCGGTGGGTCCGGGCAGTGTGGCTGCGGATAGAGTGAGAGACTCAGGCCCGGGGCTGTCCCCTGGCAGTCCTGTCCCTAAGGGCATGGGGGCAGGGGAGGCACTGCTACTCCCCCCTTTCTATTACCTCAGTCCTTGCTGTGAAAATGAAGACCAGATCGGGATGCTTGCACTTCATGCCTGTGTCCCCTCATTTAGCAGCCTGTCCGGGCTTGGGGGTGCCACTTATGATCAGGCCTGTTGTGTGTGGCCTGTCAGGGAAGAACCTGAATACCAGGAGTCCGCACAGTGTGCCTGGCAAGTGTGAGATCCCCGGCAGGCAAGTGAGAGGTGGAAAGAAGTTGGCCACTTTGGGAGAAGGTTCTGGAAGCTCAGACGACAAGGTGGTGGTAGGACAAGGGTGCAGCTGACACCATGGAGGAGCGGCGCCTGAGAACTGGGGAGCGTACGTGAGAAAAGGATGTGGGGGAGAGTTTAGAATCAGTTGCTTGGCGGAATAGTGAGTTCTCTGTTGCTGGAAGTATCCAAGCAAAGTCTGGATGGCTACTTGTTGGGAAGCTGTAGAGAGGGTTCGGGTTATGGAAGGGTAGCTGGAGGAAAGGACCATTAACGTTTCATTTCACAGAGAGACTCGGGTGCAGCCAGGGGCTGGAGCCTGGAGCAGGGGTGACCAGAACTAGAGTTGTAAACTCAGATGCCCAGGGCGCCAGGCAGGGGGTTAAAAAGGAGCCAGCAGGGCTGGGTGGGCACTGTGGCAAACAAGAGACAGCACATCCCATTCGAGCGGCAGCTACTGCTCTGCGAGACTCAGCTGTGGGCCCTGCATTACCAGACTGATTTTTTTCCCCCCAAAAGCCAGAACTCTGAATTTTTCTGTGAAATATCCTGATTTTTAAATGTTGGCAATCAGTTCAGAAAAACGTACAAACCCAACATGAAAGAGAATGCCAGCGTGTAGTCTCTGAGGGAGAGTTTGTGCCGGGGAGAAGCCCCCTGAGATGCTGTGAGGTGGAACTGGTGCAGAGCAGTACGAGGCTTCCCAGAGCAGGCTGGGCCCGGGGAAGGGTCCTCGTCGCTGAAGCTTCTCCCTGTATGGGTCCCGGGGGAGGGAGGGGCAGCAGGGGGCAGCTGGCCCAGGTTTGTCCTCCTCATGCTCTTTGCAGACCCCACCAGGATCACCAGTGGTGGCAGAGTAGCGACGGTGCAGTTCCCAGCCTGCCAGGGAGATGGATGACACCTGAGAAGCAGAGAAAGAGGGAGGGAGACAGGATGGCTTGGCTGATGTGCCTGCCTGTCGGGGAAGCCCCAGGGGTTGGCAGCTCTTCACACCAGCAGCTCTGGCCCAGGGCCAGGCCCAGCAGGAGGGCCAGCTGGGCAGTCCCTTAGTCAGGAGCCACCGGGCCCTGGGGAGGGACCTAACCTACCCCTGGACTGTGGTCCCCAGCCAGACTAATTCAAGGGCCATCATGACCCCTGTGACTCACAGTCCCACCCCCTCCCTGTTTTTAGGGAGTCGGGTACTGGTCCCCATGTTCCCACATTGACCTGAGGCAGGCGTGGCTCACTCTGGGAGGTGTGCAGCTGAAAGTGAATGAGGCCTTTTCTAGGTCTATGTGTGGGTGCCTCGTGCAAGCCACTTAGCAGCAGGGGAGGGACTCAGACTCCCCTGTGGACCCCAGGGCTGGAGGGAAGAGAGGTGAGAGGGGATTAGGGTCAGGGAGACAGGAGGGAGTTGCTCAACCCACAGGCTCCTTCCCCAGAGCCCTCTGGGGAGACGGGCGTGAAATGAGGCCCACCCCTGTTGCCTCCTGCAAGAGGGAGCTGATCACCCTGAGCTGCTATCCCCAGGAGCCCCTTCCTCGCTGAGACCTTGGGCCTGTGGGGGCTACCACAGGATACAGTGGTGCTTTTTAATTTATTTTTATTTTCTCCTATGTAGCAACCCCTCCTCCCCTCCTGAGCATGTTTACACAGGCTCTGCTCCCTGTGGCTGGCCTGACTGCAGTTTCTGGGGAGGCAGGGGCAGGGACTCCGGGGCCTTAGACACCATCCTTGATTTCACCTCATCTACTTCCTGTGAGGAACAGGGGCCTGGCTCCTGACTCAGGACTGCCTTCCATCACCCAGTGGGGGCTCCTCTGCCCCTAGGGGTGGGGCTGCTGGCCGAGGAGACCCCAAGGTGAGGTCAGAGAAAGCTGCTTCATGAAGGTGGGTCGGGGTGGTGAGGACTGGTCCCCAAAGCCTCTCACCTTGTGCTTAGTGCCAGCTCTGAACACTGGGAAACTGGGTTTTGAGCGCCTTCCTGCACACCTAACTGCCAGTCCTCTCCCTCCCATGGCCTCAACACAGTCATGTTCCTCTCACCCATCATGCCAGACCCCATTTTTCCTAGCTGTGGCCCAGTGGGGAGGGTAGCACCCCCCAGCCCGGGTGCCATGAAGCCTAGGGCCAGGGTTCCAAGGAACAGAAAGGGCCCAGAGGTTGGCAGTGTCTGATTTCTGGCTGTCTGCCAGCACACGCCCCATTCCTTCCAGCTTGGACTTGACCTCCTGGCTCTGAGATAGGATCCAGTTCTGGTCAGCAGCATACCTGGAGGCCCATGTATCTGTGTGCACCTGGGTCCCCTGCCTGAGTAGCTTTTCGGCTCCGATGCAACACCACTCCCAGGCCCACCCTCTGGGCTTGAAGTAAAGTGCAAAGCTGGGCCAGCATGTTGACCACCTTCTTTGCGCCAGAGCACCCCTGTGCTGCAGTCTTCACTTGTGTCTGCTGAGAAGCCAGCTGAAGGGTGGGTGGGTGTCTGGGGTGTGGGGTGAGAGGGTCCGGCCCCAGGCTGCCCCAGGCTGCTGTGGTGCTCGCTGCAGGCTCCACACCACATCCTGGTGCTCCTGGGTCCCAAGCTCTCCTTTCTCTGGTGTGCTTGGCCCCAGGGGCCTGGTGATGGGGGACTCCCCTCCCTTAAGCTTTGTGTTGGGCTGCCTGTGGGACCAGACTTTGTCCTTCCTGCTCTTCCCATGTCAGTATTGTTCCCTCCCCTCTCACTTTTATTCCCCTCTCATTGCTGTGCTCAGTTTTCTCCTGAAATGAATAAAGGCTCCCGGCTCCAGCTGCAGGGCTGGGCAGAAGCCACACGGAAGCCTTGTCTCCTTTCCCCTGGGAGCCAGCGCTGGAGCCTGGCCACCCACCAGTGTCCGCCTTGGTGGTTCCAGAAAAAAACCTGACCAGAGGTGAGGGGATCCCCAAACCAGCCAATGGGAAAGCTTAAGACCTCTGCAGTCAAAGGGACTTCTGAGGTCCCAGACTGTCACCACCTCAGCCTGCTGAAACCACTAAGCTCTTGTTGATCCTACCCTGGGGGATCTTTCCTGCTGGCCGTAACTGAACCCTTCTCCCTCACACAGCCAGCCTCTGCTCCTCCCATCCCAGTCCCCAGCATTTCCCCAGAACAGAGGAGGAAGGATGAGTATTCCCCTAGGAGGGAAGGTTATTTCAGGAAACCATAGCAACAGGGATCTGAAGTCCCTTCTCAGCACAGTCGCCCACAGTCTCAGTGCAGAATCTACGGTAGCTAAAGCCGCAGCCTTGGAAAACGCCTCTGGTTCCACTCCTCGTCCCTCCTCCCTCCAGCTCTGGGCCCCGTCCCAACAGTTGCAACCAGACTTGCACAGAAATAGCTTTAGACTCCACAGCCTTATTTTTTATCTGTACCCTCCTTCTCCCTGCTCTCCTTTCATCCAGCTGAGAGTAAAGCAAGGACTTGAAAGAAGAGGTAGGGTATTTCCTCCTCCTCATCCCAGCCAATCCCCATCAAGTCTTAGCCAGAAGTGTGGTTTAGCACAAGGTGCCCTCACTTTCCGCGGCATGGTGGTGAGGCATGGCCTCTGGGAAGAGAAGCAGTCTACTCTACACATGAACATCTTAGGCTGGAGACCATCCAATAGAGGCAGTTTTGGTCTTTACAGGTTAAATTAAGTCCAATTTAAATGATACCCAAAAAAAGACCTTTTACTAGAGGTAACCAGAATCTATGAATGACATGGATTGTACAACTTTACCCAGAGGCAACATTATAATGTACACATTCAAGTCCAACTAAATACCAAGTCAAGGATCTGTGGATAGACTTCACTGACATGGGCTCATACACAGGGAGCCCCCCCCAGATAGCTCATGTACAAATGAGGGCTGGGCCAGTGCTGGGGCCAGTCTGTCATGAATCCAACAGGCTCCTTGTGGACACTGTTTAGATATGACATAGAGGTAAATGTCATCATGAGCTTCCGAGACATCAGGACCCAACTTATGGAGGGTGGGGGGGGTTACCTCAGTTCCTGCTGCCCTGTTTCTTTCAGGCTCTCAGTGTGTCCCAGGCTCATTTAGGCACATGACTAATTTGTGCTGGACTTTTAGATGCAGGTGGCACTTCTTGGAGCCCTGAACACAAAGGGGTTGAGAGCCCTGTCACCCCCATCTACCAGGATCTGACCTCATGACCACTACTGTGGAGGGCAGTGGTGACAAGAAGACGTGGCTGTACCAAAGACCAAGGCAGATGGCCCAAATGTGGGCTGCCTGGTAATCCTCAGTGCTTGCCAAGGGGGTCAAGGGACCTGCTGCTGAGGCTTGGCAGGTGATGAAGAGGTGCCACCTTAGGTCAGCTGGAGGGACAGCTCTCTGTGGGTGTGCACTTCCTCCAACCTCCAACAAGATAGGGCTTGTTCATGAGAATGACAGCCTCCCAGAATTGCAGTTTAAGTGCAGAGATGCCACTCCTCTCCCCGCTGCTCCTGTGTGGGGCGTCGGGGGCCGAGGAACTGAGGAGGGATGGGGCAGGAGGCAGAGGCCCCTGAGAAACACATGCGGTCCACGTTCTCCTAAGTGGGGCAAGACCTGCACCCTACCAGGCTCTCATCTGGCTGACTCTTGCCAGAACAGTTTTGTTTTGTGCATTTGCTCAGGAGGAAAGAAACGGAGAGGAAACGCACACTGGGATGAGTCTGGAAGTGTTGGGGCCGCAAGTCCACTCTCCTTGGGTGGAAACTAGAGAAGTTGTGCCCCTCCAACTCCTAGAAGAGAGGCCACACCATGTGTTCCATAACCAATCAAAAAACAACCCTTCAGGGGCGCCTGGGTGGCTCAGTTAAGTGTCCGACTTCGGCTCAGGTTATGATCTCACGGTATGTGGGTTTGAGCCCTGCATTGGGCTCTGTGCTGACAGCCAGCTCAGAGCCTGGAGCCTGTTTCCAATTCTGTGCCCCCCGCTCTCTCTCTGACCCTCCCCTGCTCACGCTGTCTCTCTCTCTCTCTCTCAAATAAATAAAACATTAAAAAAAACCTTGTTAGTTGCTACACCAAGGCAAAGAACTGGAGGGAAAAACAAAGACAAAAACCAGCAGCAGCAGCAGACTGCTCGTTCATTTCTCCTCACCGCCCCCCCCTCCCCAGCACCTTGTGTCCACCTTCCAGGATAACCTGTCTCTCCTACTCCAGGAAAGGCTATGGTTCTGAGGAGTGTGAGGAGTCAAGGAATAAAGCAAAGGAGATGATCAGTTTACCTCTTTGGGAGTTGTTTCCTCGGATATAAATAAAGGTACCCTGAACGCTGCACTGCCACCCCACGGTACCGCTAGCTACTGACAGTGGATGTGGAAGCACTGCTTCAACTTAATAAAAGTCTGTGCAGATGTTACGTGACTCAGGAAACCGTCCAGGCAGGAAAGGCTCCTGGGGGTGCACCTCAAAGCTTGGAGCTATAAAAGAACTCCTAGCCTAGCATGCAGGGCAAAGCATGCAGCCAGCCTGGGGAGAACTACCTGCCTCAGCTCCTGTGAGTGAGACTCTGCAGCCTTAGCCGCCCGTGCTTGCCAACGCCCAAACACCCCAATCCCAGAGCTGACAATTCCTCACGAGTGGAAAGGACTAGTACTTTAATTCCCATTTCACCAAGATTATGAAACACAAGGGCTTAACTTACCCACAGTCACCAAATGACCAGGCCGACGTGATAAGTGGTGTTCTTTATCCCTGGCTGTTTTCTTTCGACTGAATCCCAACCCAGGTGGTTCAACAGAAGCCCTGGGTAACTTTAGGTAATTCGGATTCTCACAGGCAGATTCAGAGGTGTGGGGTCTGGACTTCCATTCAGGTAAGGCAGGAGCCACACCTGGTTTCAGGGGTTCCCGTGGGCACGTGAGCTCCATGGACCTGCTGCACAAGGAAGCTGGGGGAAGACCAAAGTACCAGCAGAGTGAAGCCCTGGAAGGAAACCTTTCCAGCAACAGATGGCCCACGGTCCAGCTCCGGTTCCACAATGCAAAAGAGATGATCAGAAATAGACACTCGGCAAGAGGCAACGCCATGCACATCATGCCTCACGCAGTGACCTTGGCTTTGACCAGGAAAATACTTCTCACCCCACGTTCGGCACAGACCCTCCTGAAATGTGGGCAGTGGTAGCAGATGGAATGGGAATGAAAAAAGGTGAAAGAGCGGCTCTCTAGCTTGGTGAGGAGGGAGAAGAGAGCTGGACCCCAACAGAAGGCAGGGCATGAGGTTTCTTCAAGCCCCGTTCATCCCAGGCCTCAGAGCAGCCGGAGTATGTGTCAGTTCTCAAGGGACGATTACACCACTCTCCGGTGGAGATTTAGGGCCTGAGAGCCCAGCCCAGGCTGTCTCTTCCTCCTGGCCACCTCACTCTCCAGGCCTTCTCCCCCACCCTCCCCTGACCTTCGGGATCCTAACAAATGACCAACAGCAGGGGGGAAATGGTAAACCTTTATTTGGAAAAGAGAGCCTAAGTGACCACTTAAAATCCCTACTTAACTTCAGTTCCAAAACAGAAACAAATAAGAAAACAAGTAAAAGATCATCTATAAAACAATTGCCCTCTGCCACCTTGGGCTGTTTACACTGCATGTCCTGGCAGAAGAACAGTGATGGGCCAGAGTCCTGAAAAACAATAGGGCACTGACTTGAGACCATCTCAGGAGGCACCTGGGGGGAGAGAGTGAACAATGGGTGGGCTGTGGACAGGCGGGCCTGGGGCTCAGACAGGCGCATGCCCAGTACCCAGGAAATAAAGTTCACAACATACATGCACAGATGAATTCCCCAGCACCCAGGCACAGAAAGCTTATAACCATGAACACAGCAGCAGAATTCAAGCTGGGTCTTTGGCTTTCAAAAAAAAAAAAAAGTAAGAGAGCCTCTGGCTAACCACCCCTAACCCTGGCGCTCAGGCATTCCCTCAGTCCCATTCCGGAGCCAGGAGGGGCAACAGCAAGGCCAATCTGCAAGGACCGGTAGCTACTCTGGGACACATGAGGACCAGCTGGCCCAGTAACACCTGGGCTGTACCCCAGCTGTGAAAGATTAAGGCATGCAGGTGACCCATGGGGGCAAGGGGTCCCCTGGATGGGCTAGGGTAACCCTGTGCCAGAGGGGCAACGCTGGCAACAAGCAGCTGAGGCCTTGCCGGCTGCAACAAACCCCGAAACACTGCCACCTTGAGATCTTGGACAGGCTTTGCTCAAGGCCACCTTCTGCGGAGATGGCCTGGCCTGAGGTAAATACCAGGCTTTTCTAGAAGAAAATGGAAAGGCATGGGGGAGGCAAGGAGGTAGAGATGTGGGAGGCAAGGAACAGAAAACGGTTTCTGAGGTGCGCAGAGGAAGAGAACAAGTCCCTGAGGGCCCGGGTCCCAGCTGAGGCAGCTGCACAGCCTGCCTGGCTCCTGCTCCTACCAGGCCTCCCACCCTTACCCCGGTTCTGCAGGGGGCAGAGTCCAGCAAGACCAGAGTTTCTTGAAGGTTCTTTTTCATCCTTTTAAACCTCAAATGACTATTCCAGCCCACTGACCCACACAGGGGTTTAAACTTTTGCCTTTCTCACGGCAGCCTGGGGAAAGGAACAAGCCCTAGAGAAAGCACGCCAGGCCTGTGAGGAGCTCCGAGTCGAGGGCTGGGAGGCACTGGGGCCGGCAGCACATCCCCGATGCTGCTGCTCCAGGCTGTGCGGCCGTCTTTCCCAGAGCCCAGACGGTGAGTGTGCCCAGCTTGGCATGATGAACGCCTAATGAGACACAGAGGATAAAAGGGGAGAAGGGCCCACGCCCCTGCTGCTGCCTGCCAAC